ATTGTTCATTAAGCTTTGTATCTACTTTAGGTTTTGTTCAAACAGGCTTTATGTCTTTCATCTTTCTCTCTCTCTCTCTTTCTAATCCTGGAAAGCTGTTGCAAAAGTTATTAATAATAAAGTACTTTGAACTGTCTTTTAAAAAAAAAAAACAAAATCAGACCTATTAAGGAAGGAAAAGAGATACAGTCCTAATTAATTTTCATGGTTTATTTCTAAAATTGGACTGTATCATTGTTTCAATACATATTTTTAACAAGGACCATCACAACCTGACTATGCCTAGCAGAACTTCCCATACTGAACAGCTTTAAATCCATTACCCGAGGTCCTGGAGGCCAGGATGCCCCAGATAAGCGCCATGTAGGCACTGGAGCAGCTCTGTAGAGTCAGCCAAGGTTGAGCACGGCTGACGCAGAGGTACAGCAAAGCAGTTCACCGTGCTCCAATTTCCCCTCTGTAGCTCTCTGCATCTCCTGCTCCACCACTTCTTGGTCTGGGGGACTGTATTAGCTCTGGGGAAATGCGGGACCTGAGGTGAGGGTGCTCCTGTGACTGTTTAGATGAAGACCTCTAGGAAGCTATTTTCAGCTTGTTTGTTGGTGTACTATATGATTTTGGGCAAATGACTTATTCTCGGTGTCTCCATTCACCCTATGTATATGCGGTCTTATAATTCTGAAAAAATGTAGTGAAGGCTATTATTTATAAAGTGCTTTGAACCGTGTTTTAAAAGCCATAGAAATAGGAGGAAAGGAAGGAAAATTGATTAGGATCCTACTTTATCTCAGGTCAGATTTAGAAATCTTTGTTTCTAAACACATAATTTTTTTTTTTAAATTGAATATAAATTCTTGGTTCAGAAAAGCAACAAATCTGCAGATTGGGAATACTTATTTGTGGCTGCGTTAGCCTCTTGGTGGGAAAAATAACTGTATCATCACTTATTTTAGAATTTACAGTAACATTACCAAGTATCCGGGCTTGAATTTTCGGTCATGCTTTATGCAAACTACATACCTGAACAGTGCCACAGACCATTATCATTAACTTTATTTCCACAAAGGAGACTTCCTCACACGGCAGCTGTGTACTGCATGAATGTCATTGCAAAATCCTCCTAATAAAATCTTTAGCGTGGCCTGCGGGGGCTGGGAGAGAAAGCCCAGCACGCAGTTCCTTGGCTCTCATCGCTGGAGTAACTGAGCACCTTCAAGCAGTGCATTAAGTGGTGCAACTACTTTCCATCACGTGCAGTTAATAAGAATTGCCATACTTTGCTCACCTTAGGGAGGAGATGAATCGTACCAAGTCTTTTCAATTTATCTTCATAGCAGGGTTTTACAGGCTCTTGATCATTCTTACCTTCCTTGTTTGAATTCCCTCCAATTCTTTGCACAAAGCATGCTTCCAATTCACTTTTGAGTGATTTTATTTATTTATTTTTTATTTTTAAACCGTGCCATATAGCCTTTCCTCTAGGGATAGTCCTGGACCTGCATATTGGATCTATATTTGCTCAGGCGTCTCATCTAAATTGTTCTGGTTTTTTTCAGCTACATTTTTGAACTTATTAGATGTTTACAAACTGATACGGGGCAGTGTCAATCGTAGCTGCTGCAGATCAGCAGTACTACTGTGCCCCTCTTCATGGGGTCAGGGTATAAATGTAACATGCAACATGAACTAGGAAATTAAAAGTAACCTCTTCTGAGTAACAATTTTATTGAGCTTTCAGTTAGGATGGCATACAGATTTTCTTCCTCAGAGGAGTTTCAACACTTCTATTTTTTTTTTTTTAAGCTTCTTTTTTTAATCTCTTCTCAGAGAGAACCATCCAACAGGAAGCAGCTAGCTGAGGTTCCTATACAGAGAATTCAGGTTGAAAACCTTCCTCTCAACCAGAAATTAAACCAGGGTGCCTTATGGGCAGCTCATGGACATTTTCTGATGTCTGAGGTTAAAAGTCAGGAAAAAGTCCTGCCCATACTTCCCCGCTTATATTTAATAGTCTCTAATGTCCCCAAACTGAGAACTCCAGAAAGCCCTCATAGACAAGGCTCTGTAGCTTAATGGTTTCAGTATATGTCCTGGGATATGGAAGATGTATCTTCAAATTCCTGTTTCGAATAAGGTAGAGCAGGGGTTTGAGCCTGGGTCTTCAGCTGACTATGGTGGTGTATGTCTTTCTTTACACTTTACAGGAAATTTCATCCTGGCTCTGAGGAGCTCTCTAAAATTTTGTCAAAACTGATATATTTTCACACATGCTCGTTTTAGTTAGTGAAAGAATTCCTAACCTAACCAGATCTAGTAATGAATGCCTGCAGGAGATACTACCAGATTTTCCCAGATTACGAGTGCTCTGGGCCACGCACTCATCCAGTAACTGCATGTGTGAGCCACAGGGAGCACAACCTGGGCCCTGCAGCCTGGGGAGCACTGGGTAAAATGTCCTGTACTGTCTGAGGGAGGTCAGACACCGGAGCGGGTGCCCAGGGAGGTTGTGAGCGCCTCCGTTCTTGGAGGCGCACTGAACTCAGCCAGATGAGATCTTGGATAACCTGGTCTAATTGGTGCTCCTTTGAGAGGGAGTTGGACCAGATGACCTCCAAAAGTCCCTTCTAGCCTGAATTATTCTATGAGTCTCATTCAGATTGCTGTCTTCTTCGCAAATGGACAGACTTGCCCTCATACTGGCTCTTCTTTCATAAACTGCAATGCAGCACTGCCACGAGGATGCTAGCAAAGACTCAGTTAATGGCTTTGTTTGTTAATGTGTCTGATGTTTCTGTGCAGATGCTGTACCAATTCTTGGACTGACAGACCCAAGACTCTGCTACTTGCTGGATGGATTCCTCTTCATTTACGCAGTCATCATAACAGCACTTTTCGTGAAAGCTAAGGTCAGTCTGTCCAAACACTGATGCATTTGGCTTCTGTTACATACACAAGTTGCACTGAGCTGGAAAGTGGGGGGTGGAGTGAAAGCATGTCTCTCATTCTAAGACCTTTCTATTTTCCTTTTCCAGCACAAAACCGGGTGATTTGGGGGAGTTGTTGTCTCTGAGGGCTCAGGAATGGAGAGGAAGAATATGTACTATATGCTGTTCTTTTTGATAATGCAAAGAGTATGTTAACGCCACAATGATGGGCACAGTCAGAGATTCTGAGTAGAATAGCTGGGAAATGCTTATTCAACAGTGTGTTTTGTTTTGTTTTTGATGCTGCTTTGTCATTGGAAAGAGAGGAGGAGAAGAGGATGTGTACAGAAAATCAAGGAGAAATGTTGAGCTTGTGGAGAAAGTAGTAAAACGTCTCCAGAAGTCGGACATGTTTGGCAGTGGGGGAGTGCGAATGATATAACCCCAAGGGCCCAGCTCCCACAGGAGAGGAGTGAGGGGAGGACTGAGGGGCTGTTGTTACATCCGGCAGCTGTTCAGCATCTAGGGAGGCATTTAGTGGTTTTAGTCCAACTTCTGCAGAAGAAGATAACATGATGTGATGAGGAATGTACGTTTCCACACACGTACCTGCTCCCACAGCTCTGCTCATCATAGGATAGGAGCTATCTCCCTCTCCCCCACACAGGGCGCTCCACTGCAGTGGTTCTTTCAGCTTGGCCTGAACAACAGATTCAGGCCAAAAGGTACCTTGGAAGCGACGGGTACATCTCCTAGCTCAGCCTCTGCCACAGGCGCAGAGGCTGGCTGAACTTAGGATCTAGGTGTGCTTCTCAGCTGGTCGTGGCTGAAACTACCAGCAGGAGTCCTGACAGGGTAGGATGGTGCCTGCTCTGCAGATGGGTCGTTTCTCAGGACTGCAAAGCCAGTACTGAACTCGGAAAGAAACACATTTGGAGGAACTAAGCAGAACTGAGAAATGGTAAAGGAGAAGCTTCTTTTTTTTTTTTTTCTTCTTGCTGCCACTGTAAATCTTGACTGTGGATGAAAATGCTGCTCTGGCCCTGGAAGTCTTTTTGAGACTGCTAGAGGGAAAAGCTGCTCAGGCACGCGTGCACGCACACATACACGCACACACACAGACACAGGCAGCGCCCCTCACCCTTAGGACTCAGCATGTTTGCCGTCCTCCTGGCGTGCTTAGCTGTTTGCCACGATGCGCCTGGTGATAGTTCAGATGTAGCAAATAAGCTGTTGCCTGGGGGGAAGAACAGAACGAAGGAGGAAAGCCATTTCTGCGGTTACGCAGGCTGGATCTGCAGAGCCACGCTAGACAAACATTGCTCTCACTCGTCACTGGGAGAGCTGTTAAGCTGCGTCTGCATCTTCTATTGTATCTTGGGCCTGGATATGGTGTTTTTTGGCTTTAAAACATAGAGCAACTACAACAGCTGTGTTTAGCATGCTGGGAGGCTGAATTAATGGAGCTGGGCCGCGGAAGAAAAAGCCACATGCGCCGGAGAGAAAGGAGTCAAAGGGCTCCACGTGGCAACGCAGATTTGTTAATGCCGGCCCTCGTGGGAGCGGGGCTGTGCTGGCAGCCCCCAGCCGGCCCCACCGGCAGCAAAGCTGGATGGTGCGCGGAGAGGGCTGCTGCTGCCTGTTGGCGAGCAGTCGTGAGCCGGCCGGGTTGGCTGAGCCAAGGCAAAAATGCCCCGGTCAAAACAGGGGTGTGTGTGTGTGTGTGTGTGTGTGTGTGTGTGTGTGTGGGGCAAGGGGTGCGTGTGCGTGTGTGTCCATCCTACACAGACACTGCTGCGTTAGGAGCTGTTTAGCTGAGAGCTGAAGTCTCTCAAGCCAAAAGTGGCAGAGGCGTTTTAGGAGAAATGCCATCACAAAGCACCAAAAAGCTGACAAGGCAGTTTCCTGGGGGACAGGTGGCAGGGGGGGCCCTCTATTTTGACATGAACTTAGAACTTTTTTGTAAATCTTCCAAGCTGGGACGTTTTTGTCACTTCACCTCTTGGCTGAAGGAATTGTTTGTGGTTGCTTTAGCCAAGAGTACCATCTTGCTTTTGCTATGTTTTTTTTTTTTTTTTTTAATTTATAGCCTACACGGACCTGTAGGCTCCATTGCAGGAGAGCATGGGTTGGATGGTTGGTAAATACTGGCCCTGGCAAGGGTTCAGTGACAATAACGGCCCTCCCACAGGGAAATGGGTGGGTGGATAGTTTGTGCTTACCACAGATAGTATTTAAAAAAAAACAGTCAGGTTTATCCCTCTAGGTTTCCTGAATACAATTCCAGCTAGAAAGTTGATTTTAATGTATGTATAATAACTAAAAAAGGTTGAAAGCAATACTGAGAATATGGTTTGACACTTTTTTTTTTTTTTTTTGCCTGAAACAGCCTGGCTCAAAAATGAAACACCCATAAATACTGTGAGGAGCCGTGCCAAAGAGTAGCTTATAGAAGGGCAATCCTTCACCTAATGCATCAGTTGCCACTAATGATCACTTACCCTGGTGGCACCACGGCCCTGCAAGGCAGAAGCTTCTCTGGGGCGTCCCAGCGGCAGCAGGTGAAGGGACCCTCAGGAGCGCTGTGGGCGCTACTTTCTCTAGAGGATCAAGGTGGGCTTTGGGTTAGTGGTGGCCCCAGATACCCAGTTTTTCTAGGAACAGCCTGCAGTTGCCTGCTCATAGCGGGATGGAGCTACTTTTCTTAACACGTGCTTTGGATACGCCCTTTTTTTTTTTTTTTTTGGACATGACTAGCACTCCAGTGGCTGCTCTTGCTGACTTTAAAAAAAAAAAAACAAAAAAACCAACAACTGTTATTTTTGCCTGAAACAGCCTGGCTCAAAAATGAAACACCCATAAATACTGTGAGGAGCCGTGCCAAAGAGTAGCTTATAGAAGGGCAATCCTTCACCTAATGCATCAGTTGCCACTAATGATCACTTACCCTGGTGGCACCACGGCCCTGCAAGGCAGAAGCTTCTCTGGGGCGTCCCAGCGGCAGCAGGTGAAGGGACCCTCAGGAGCGCTGTGGGCGCTACTTTCTCTAGAGGATCAAGGTGGGCTTTGGGTTAGTGGTGGCCCCAGATACCCAGTTTTTCTAGGAACAGCCTGCAGTTGCCTGCTCATAGCGGGATGGAGCTACTTTTCTTAACACGTGCTTTGGATACGTACAAAAGAGGACTGGAAAATCTGGGCTGGGGGGCAGCAATGGCTGTGTTGAATAGCTGTGAACTGGCGTAACGCACAAGTAAAATAACTTGTCTTCTGTGAGCAGATAGGCAGGTAGATAAAAGTGCCCGTGCAGTAAGGGTTTGCGTCTCCCAAAGCACCAGCAGTGCCCTGGGTTGGCTGCCTCTGCGGCGCCCTGTTTCTACCAAGGGCGACCTGTGGGAGCGAGGGAAGGAAAGGCCTGACCGACCGGCGGCGCGGCCCTCGGTGCTGACGGTGCGCTCTCTCTTCCAGCTCAGCCAAGCCCCTGAGCCACAGCTGCAGCCAGGCCAGGACGATGTGTATAATGTAAGTAGCTACTGTTTTGTTTCTTTGTTCATTTGTTTTATAATTTTTTCCCCCCAAAATCTGCTATCCAGCCACCCCTTTTGGGGCACTTACTTAATTACTCATGGGGAATTGCTTGTGGCTCAGAAAAGCTTTGGATGACCCCCAGCTAATGAAAGAAATATCCCAAAGTATGCAACACAGTTGTTGTTATGCAGCAACAACTGTGGTCTCTTACCTGGTCAGGGGCCAGACAGATATATGGACTGTAGGGTCCTGATTTGATCCACTGCCATGACGGCAATACAAGGAACCAAGTTTGATTCAGCGACCAGGCTCTATGTGCCACATTATATAATGTGTCTGCAAGAGCTGTGTGCGCAGCCGCCAGAGTGCTATAAACAGTGTGCACACCCCCTCCTTACGCACAGGCCTCTGCAGCCTGGCACGCAGCTCCCTGCTCGCTAGTCTCAACGAATGTACTCTTGTAAGCTCGTGCTGCTGGCCGGGGCTGACCCACAGGCACAACAAATACTTATTTTTCTGCTTTATTTGATGTGGGTTGGAGGAAGGGGAAACATTCAGGAATTTTGCATTACTGACTGGGGGGGAACGGAGGGTCGTGCCTCTTGTATCACCAGGTGTGTGGAGCCCCAGTCACACAGCCCTGAAATCTCTGGTCCTGAACTCTCCTGTTGTCCCTGCAACATGACAGCCGCCATATGACGTTGCACTGGAGGCTGATCTTGTCCGCTGCGCCCTGGCTGTAGCCAGCATCAAATGGGTCTTCAGACAGTGAAAGGAGACACAGACGAGATCCTGTCTGTCTTTCCTAGCTAAATTGCTCATTCATGGTGGCATTAAATTCTGGCTATTTTTGATATGTCTAGTCATCTTCTGATGTTTTCTTTACTCTCAGGCTCCTGACCATAGCCACATCCTGTGATAATGAGTTCCACTGTTTTACTACTTAATGTATGAAAGAATGTATTTTTTTTTTAAAGTTTAAAAGGGTCAGCTTTTGAATAGCATTAAACACTCCCTGTGCTTGTCCTGAAATGGGAACAGAATTTCCTGACGTACCTGCCCTGCCCAGTGTGTTAGTCTGACCCGAGATCACTCCTTTGCCTTCTTCCAGGGTAACTGGTCCCAAATAAGAAACGAGTTGAGCATAAAGTTTCTGCGTTCACTTAATACAAATTTAGACCAGCTGTTCTGCAAGAAAAAAAAAAAAAATCAAGCGCATTGCTCTTCACTCACCACTGGCAGACAAAGCATAAAAGTCAGAGTCGCTCTGCCTGCCAGGCTCATTTCTACTTAAGAAATGTTCTTGAGGCAATCGCTTGAAGTTTTGCACAGCAGAGACCCCCCCCCCCCCTTTGTTGTTTCAGTGCGTAGTCATAGATGTTTTTTGTTGGCAGCAGCATCAAGGGGTAAAAATAGTTTCCACCTCAGTTACAGCACTCGTGACTTTGGACACCAAGCTGGATTCCCTTACTTTTCTTTTACTAAAAGTCAAGATCTGTTTATCTTCTGATGATCGCAATGTCCATCACTGCTTCTTGCTTTTTCATTTCAGAAACTGTCTCGCGGGCACAGAGATGAATATGACGTTCTGGGGGCAAAAAGAGGTGTAGACCCGGAGATGGGTGGGAGACACCAGGTAACTTCCTCCCACGCATGCCCCATTTTTTCTTTTAATCTGGTTCTTTTCTTCTTGTGTCTAACCGCTGTTTAGACATGCAGGCATTCATCACGCTTTTGCTAAGCACCCATGCCCTCCGCTAGAGGGAACGGCAAAGTCTATATAGTAAGTCACGAGGCTGACAGCTAGAAGGTGACACCCAGCCACGGGCGGATGTGGAGCAGGCGAGGCGGGAGCTGTGTTTCAGTAGTGCTCTCTGTGCGCGATACCTCCAAACAAGCGCCAACAGAGTAGAGCAGCAGCCAAAACAACTGCTTCTGCTGCAGGGCTGAACAGTTTCAAAGACAAAGGGCGGGCGAACCTGCTGCCTAGGCGTTCAGGGCTTGCCTGCAGATGACAGCTGTAGGGATTGAGAGGAAAAGGGCTAAGTGTTACCAGTTATTGAAATTAAGTTAATTTCCCAGAGAGCAAGCTGCCTTAACAGCCTTATGGGTGAGGGCAACATGGGCTGTAATGGACATGTCCATAGAGCTCTGGCTGGGCCTTAGCGCTAATGCACGTGCACGACAGAGGAGAGAAGATGCTAGTAGTGCAGCATGTGGGCAACTTTCTGCCTTTGTTTTGCAGCAGAGAAGAAAGACCCCTCAGGACACCGTCTACACTGTGAGTAGCGAGAACTGGAAGTAGGGACGGGAGGGGCAGACTGGCTGGCAATAGGAGCTTCTAATTCATTGGCGACTTTCTCCCCACCTACCCACCCAATTTTGGTTTTGGTTCAAACTTAACAGTTCCTTTCAAACAAGTGTTTTTTTGTTTTTTGCTAGATAACTTCTGACTACGTCTCAGTAATAGGAGAAAACATTGACTGCTTGGGGCAGATGGGGAAAAGACTTTGGCTCAACGTACCTGCTTTGCGTTAGCCATGAAGGAGCATCCTGACCTTTGTCCCATGTGAATGATGACGCTGTATTTTATGGGCTTGTGCTACAGCCTATCTGGCTGCTGTCTGACAAATACCAGTGCTGCTTAGAATGGCAGCTAAGGAGCCTCTTGTTTTAATTACTTTAACTCTAGCTAAAGTTGATGGTCTGTGCTCCAAAGGCTAGCTGCATGAACGCTAATAGTTATGTCTCGCTCAGGGTCTTTCTGGGTGTTCAGTACTAAATAAGAAGAAATGAATGTGTTTCCAAGATGGCCTTTATCATTGCTGGATCAGAAGGGCCTATCTCAGCAGGTCCTAAGAGTTTGGAACAGTTTCCTGGCTTTCCCTGAGCTGCATGTGCAATTTTGTCTCCTGAATGAATGCTGCCTGAAGATTTTTCTTAGAGAGTTGGGGTGGTGTAGTACGTGATGATGAGCTAGAAAAGGGAATTGGTTTTATGAAAAATTCCTATTGAGGGTAGCGTTATGGCTATTTAAATATTTGGCGATGAGGTGATGTTGATAAGTAGTTATAAGTGTTGATAAGTGTTAATAAGTAGTTTTGCTCATGTATGACATACGTGTATTTTAACGTACATCAGATTCAAGACCTACCACTAACTAACCTATCGCAGAGAAGGAGGACGAAGTTTTGAAGGGGGCTGGGTTGAGGCAGGGCAGCCCCAGAAACACGGACGTGCAGTGGAGTCACCCCAGGGGCTTTTCTATTAACCCTTTGGCTCTCTCCTGCTCTCTGCTTGCAGTCACTGCAGAAGGACAAGATGGGCGAGGCGTACAGTGAAATTGGAAAGAAGGGAGAGGTGAGTGCTGTCTTCCTTCCTGGTGAAAGCCTAGGATGAAGAAGTCTTTATTCCCATTCCTTTACAGACCAGCAGCCTAATACTGCACCTAGCAGTCTTGCACAGGAAAGTCCTGGTGCCACACAGTACCCACAAACAGCTGAGCATAGTTACCTATTTCCAGTAGTAACTGGGGTGTTAGATGTAGCAGTAAATAAAAAATGTAGCATTAGAGTTATAGTAGCCATAAAACAAAGTGGAAATTGGACTGGAAGGCTTGCCCCATCACTGTTATAAACATAGCCTGCACATCAGCAGTGTCCCTGAGCAAACTGAATAATTTCAAGGGGAAACATTTCAACTTTTGGACAGAAAAATCCTTGCAGTTACCCCTACCGAAGAGGCAGAGGATATCAGGTGGGTGAGCAATATTTGAAGCAAACGTCCGATTTCAAGGGCTGCAATGTTTATGACTGCCCAGCCACTCATATTAGTTGAGCGCTTTCTTCCAGAGCAATTCAGAAATGGAGGGCTTCTCTCTATGCGCTTGAGTTTGTCTTCAGACAAGTAACTGGGGAAACACTCCCCTTCCCCCGCATCCGTTCTCCATTTTAAAAAGGAACAGGTCAGCTATATATCTACAGGTAGCAAAAAAATGGATGGTTTTATTTCTGTGCACAAATAACTGGGGGAGGGAAGCTTGTGTTGAAACAAAACAATCTTTGGACATTATTTTTGGCAACATGAAAAATTACTCTGACCTACACAGGTTCTATTTTGGGTCGAAGTGTCATATTTTTAACCTTTCATTTCTCTCTGAGAAGTGACAAAAGGGCATTTCAAAACAAAGTTTCACAATGGAAAGTGCTTAAGCAACCCCATCATTTTATTCCCCTCCTCCCCCTTTTTACTGTTCTGAAGCCTATTTGCCATATTCCAGCTCAATTTATAAGGTCTGTCCATATTTTTGTTTATGAACGTTTATAGTATTGGGGAAAAAAATACACTCGTCTCATTCTAGATCCATGACGATGTGACCATTTAACAGACTACTGCAATTTTAAATGTAGCAGACACTACTCCTTGCCGTTTTTAATGTGCATGAAACACCCTCAGGGACCAATACTCTGCGGCGTTGGGGCAGTTATGACCAGCCATGTGCTTGAAGTGTCACCCTTCATGCAGGTGGCTTTAAGCTCTGCCAGTGCCTGGTTCTTACCTGGAAATTGCTCGCTGGAGCCCAACAGGGCTGCGTCGTCTGACAGCTCCCCTGGCCTTGCAAACAGCCGTCAAGTTCAAGAGAGGACTTTTCCTTGTGCCTGGCTCGTCTGAATAACCTTGCTCTGCTTGTACCAAGACAGTCTAGTGTCTATTTTACTGAATTCTGGGTGACTTTTTCCCCAGACTGACATAGCTGCAAGTCCTTTGAATTTTTGAAAGGTTTACAAAAAAAAATGCATGCTAGAGAATTTAAATAATTGTCCATGTCTGTCCAATAGAGGGCAGAGTTGCTCAGGCACTAGCTGACCGTTTCTTCCAGCTGTACCTTAAGCTCATAACACAAGAGTTGCCTATAGAAACATTGCCAAAACACCATGCATACAGCAAATCAAAGAAATAGCAGCATTATAACAGTATGCTAAGAAAGCATGGTATAAAACTGAAATAATTCCACTTTTCTTTCTAATCCTCGCTATCTTCTTCTTCCACAGCGCTTGCAGCAAATGCTGACAAGCAGCATGTCTGGGCTGTTCCAGCCTGGAAGACTAGAAGGCACTTGCCAGCAAACCCTGCAGAGGGGGGTGCCCAGGCTGAGCATAGCTGCTGACCCTCAGAACAGGATGGGGAAAGTCAAATTTTTCTTTCTTTTTGCATAATGGGAAAAGCACCCTTTAATGAATGCTTGTTTTTCTTTCCCAAAGCAGCAGAGGCGGCGAGGCAAAGGGAACGATGGTGTTTACCAGGTAGGCAACACATCCAGCAACTGCACCCCTCGTCTATCTTCATGGCGTTACTGTAGCTCCTAGCTACGTATCCAACTGCAATGTTGGTGATGCCTGATGCTACAGGGCCTGCAGAGCACCTTTCTAAGGGCACTTACTCAAGAGTCAGAGCAAAGACCACCCTGTTGTGACTTTGATAAAGTGGCTACATGCTCTAAATACAACTGGCAGGAAAACTTACCTAGAAGCTCTAGGAGGAAGCATTTCCACAATCCTGCATCATTGGAGAACCACCTTTTGACTTTAGCAGATGATGCATATGGTTCCGGCTCTGAAATGATTTAAACTGTTTGTTGCCTAAATGGCCCAGCACTTCCTGCCAGGTTGCCAAACAGCAGCAGTGGCTCAAAGCATCAGTGGTTCAGTCTATCCCACTGTAGCATACCGCACACAAACTGATCAGGGTTTTCAGGGCTGCACACACATAACAGAGGGCAGGAGTCTATCCCAGAGCCTTATTCAGGCTGCCATGCACACTTGTTCCAAAAAACATGCATTTCAGTTCCCTGTAGAAGCCTGTACATTGCCACTGACATCTCAAGATTACAAACAAATTTTGTCCTTATACAGTGTGCGGTAGGGAGTTTTCTTGTAACGCGGTCATACTTGTAACTAATGGTACCGTTCCTTCAAAACCTGCTCTACCACGATCTTCACAGCTAGCTGATAAGAAGCACTACCCTATCAATATTTTCAAATTACAGTACAGGTTTTGTTCAGATGATTACATTTCATGACTCTAAGCTACACCGCGACCTCCTTGCTGCCACTAAACATTCATAACAGAGGTAGCAAGAAATTGTACAAGCAAGCACCACCTCTAGCTAAGTGCTCAGTCTTGGACGTCCCAGTTACCTCTGCTCTAGCAGACTCTTAGATCCATGACCTCAGACTCTCATATTTTGCCCTACCCCACTCTTGGAGTAGTTGGTTCCAAGGAGGCAGCAAGGATATGCAACTTGCACGTTACAGCTGACTTACCACCACCAGAGCAGATGGACCACACAGTCACAGGAAGCAGTTTGATGGGATGCTTCCCTCATCTGCCACCTGAAGCCCCCACTGCCAACTTATCTCATGTTGCATGAGATTTCCCGTCCAAATTATTGCAGAGGAAAAGTTCATAGACCAGTGTTCAGCATTTTATGTCTATTCATTTTGCTAGTAGACAATGTTAACTCTAGCAGCAGTTAGCTCTCAACAGCCAACAATATGCAGGTTAAAGTGGACTCTAAGGAACTGCATAACCTGTTAGGCTATTTGCTGTAGTCATATACTCCTAACAGTTATTCAGGGTGCATCTTGCCTTCAAGTAAGTGATAGCTATTGACACCATACAAAGACTAAGGAAACACTCATGAGTAAAAAAAACCATAGGTTAAAAAATATATATATATAATTATGCCACTGAGCCCCTGCCAACTTGTTCCTGATCAGTCAAGAACGGAGACCTAACCAGTCACATTTATCTCACCTCTTTTTCTTTTTTTCTCTCCAGGGGCTCAGTGCAGCAACCAAGGACACATATGACGCTCTCCAGATGCAGCCTTTGCCCCCCCGCTAAGTGGGAGTCACAGAGGGGATGGGCAAAAGTGAGAAATGCCCACCTGCTTTAGGGAAGGAGAGAAGGGAAAGCCTTTTTTTTGATCCAAAACAGGCACTGGGTATTTTCTCAGTGCAGCAAACCACTTTGGTTTGTGCACAGAGGGAATACATCTGGACTTGGTCAGCCTCTTCTCCTTTCCCTCTTGAATCATGTAACTGCAAGCTTTAGCTATTAAAGTGTACATATCTGTAAAGTTACCTCCAATGATAGTGGTTATTAGGCAGATTTTTGTAAGATTTGTGTTGTGGGACCAGATCAGATCCCTGGGTTCTCCTATTGCCTGATCTGTTTCCCTAGCGCTCACTTGCCTTCCAGGGGTATCAAGTCATGTAATTATGATTTTGTTGCATGTAAAGACCCTTGTAAAGATAAGGCTGTAGTTATTTCCTGCGTTATTTATGATAAAAACATTTGACATAGGCCAGCTAAACTTTTGGTTTAAATTTACCTTTTAGAAATTAACAGGGGACAGGGTTTTTTTTTTCTTTAACTGTAAAAAGTGATGTAATGTTACTGTGTTTAAGGACAGAGGCTAAAGGCCAGCTGTACCTACCTGTTCAGTATTAAGAAAATCAGCACTTAGCTCCAACAAAAGGTCAAGTAACGGCAGTGCCACACATTCAGCAAATGGAACTAAATAAAGGCCAGGTAATCGGTGTAAGAAATTTCTCAGAAGGCAGAAGATACCCCTGTTACTGTGAAAACAAGGAGAACCGACTCTAAAAGCGAGTAATATTGAAGAAGCCAGGGAACCACGTACTAGAGAACACCATTTGGCTAAAGGATACATTTGCTTCACTTCTGCCCCTCTTATTAGCAACATCTACAAACATCACTGCACAACAGTCTCCCGGTGTAAGAATTGTTGTTATAATTCTAATGTTAAAAAAAAAAAACCCACCAACATAATCATTTGCTGGCAACAGCTGCTTTGCACTCAAGGCAACAGAAATGCAGTTTCAAAACCAGTCTACCATCAGGGTACTATTAAAAGATAATGCAGATGTCATTCCAAAGTGATAGCAGTCAATAATGTAATGCATTTTTGATGAATGAATAAAGGTAGTGGCAACGGCGTGTGTGTGTGTGTGTGTGTGTGTGTGTGCGCGCGTGCGTGCGTGCAGTGGACAACTGTGGGATGGGTACAAGCTCGTTAGCTGACACCATTTTGGCTTGCTGGACCAACTGCCACCAGCAGCGTGATCTCCTAAGCAAGACTGATGAGGTCAGTATTCCAGCAGGAGCACTTCCAAATGCCGCCTAGGAGGAAGCACCATAGGTATGGGGGGAAGTGATGTTGGAAAAATGCTGTCAGATATAAAAGCCACGCTGCTCAGCTCCTGCTGCATCCTCAGTTGTGGCACTAACTCCTACGAGCAACTCACCAAGGCTAAAAAATAAACCAGAAAAAGATAGGTTATTTTAACTTAGGTCAGGAGCTGACCAGTTTAGTCCATCAGTCCTGACAGAGAGAGTAGTGCTAGGACACAACTGTAGGAACAAGAGCTGCTCATGCCGACACTGCTAAGATGAAGATACACGTTAGTTTTTTAAAAGACTGGGTTAGAAGGAGAGAAAAAATTGCTGGAATTGCTATTACATAAATTACAAGGCTGTGCCTAATTTCTTAGGCAGTAAAACTGTATCTGCAGTAGGTGTTTGTATCTCTTGACTATTTCAAAGACAGCACATTAGTGCAAAAAAGTAGACTGAGACCACCCAAGCATGGCAATGAAAGGCCTTGTCAAGAATTTCCTGGATCCCTTACCGTTCTTCCTCAGCAGTAAGACAGGAAAAATGTGAGTGAATTGAGAGACACCTAAAATAACTAAGCTATAAGGTTAAGCTAAATTTGCAGCTGCAAAGTGCTCTCGTTCTTGATTCAAGAACAAAGAGTAAGCTACTGAAAATATCATTTGATTTTATTTTTTTAATCACAATATCCTATTTGCAAGGAGAAAAGAAGTGACTTCTACTGACTTTAAAGAAGTCAAGAGTTTCAACAATCACAGAACATCAACCACTAAACAGTGGAGGGAGAAACTCTTAGTGGGAAAAAGAAATCTCTTTACACGTATGTGAATCTTGAGCTCAAAAAACATCCAACATAGTAGTTGTTTGGGGGACACTCACCACTGGTGTGAACTCAGTCTTCTCTTTGCATTCAGGAAGCAATCGAGGCTGTTGATTTTCTTTTACAAGAGGAATTGATAATACAGAAGCAGTGGAACAAAAGCTCCTAGTGGAGTGCAAAAAACCTGGACTCTCCTATCCTTTGACTAGACAAAGAGCACGAAAGGACAGTCTTCTGGCCCAGTTTGATCAGTGGGAGGAAGGGGAATGACCCTTCCCCTGACACATTTAAAAACCACAGACAAGTGCATACATGTTAAAACACTTGGAAAATGGTTTAATGATGTTTACAACAGAAATGAACTGTACAATTACAGTAAGTTTAATATATATAAAAAATTACAGCAGACAAATGCATCTACACAAAATCTACCTTTTCATCCTGATTTACTGTAATCTACACAATCTCTCAACACCTACAGCTCTCTGTAGGCAACCACTGGGAAAATAATAATAAAGGATATCTTTAAAGAGACAGCATTTTGCCTTCCTCCTCACCCCCAGTGTGACAGCGAGGCTTTGAAATGTGTGGGACTTTCACATTTCAGTCTCAAGAAAAGATTGTGTTTCGTTTGGGTACAGCTACTCCCATACGGCCCTTGATTTCAAGTGTTCTGCTGACCGGAAGTGTATGTATAAATGCAGTATATGCATAAGGAAGGGCAAGAGAAAAACAAAACTCCAAGCCAGTGCAACTAGGCAGTTGCAGAGAGCAGTTAAACAGTTAGACTGAAATTTTGTCTTATTTAGGAAAGAAGGAAAAACAGACTGCCCAGACACTATACTCACTCACAACTCATCATCCCTTTGAAAACTGTTGCGAGATTTAGAAGAAAGGGCTTGTTTTTCAAGTCCCAATTCTTTGCCGAAAGGGACAGTTTTCAAACTAACATGTTAATTTTTAAACATGAATTTTTTCTCTGGCCCATCCCTTAAAAACAGTGAAAAACCCTTTACACTGAGAAAGAACCTCAGGTCAATGGGGGAAGAAAAAAAAAAAAATATATATATATATATGTATATGCTGTCTCTTTAAAAAGAAGGAAAGAATCCCAGTTGGGAGCGGCCATCAGTGAAAACGCAATCCAAATTGGCGGTCTGGTGGAAATTCTTCATGGAATATTATGTACACTTTAAAAATCCTTAGTTTTTTTTTTTTATTTATTTATGAACACCTAGGCAGTGAAAACTGTTATGTTAATACATACATAGACACACCCAAAACATACAAAAATACTATTATTTCAAACTACTAAGAATAGGACAAGTTCAGTTATCTCCATGCTATGACTTTAAGAGCATTACACTGAAACAAACAAGAATTTAAACGACAATTTTTTAATATCCCAGAAATATACCAAAATATACATCTAAGCTTTGGAATTACTGAGGTTAGACTAATGCAAGTGCTGGGTAATCGTACTTAATACACAAGTCTAAGGTTCTGCAGGAAAGAAATTATCTTTGGTATCTGCATCAGGCTAATAATATTAACATTTGGATTTTGCTTTGGGATAGAGCTTGTATGACCCTAGAACCAAACACCCCCCAATCAACTGAGATTAAAAAGATCCATGTAAAAAGTTCCTCCATTTGCAATCCCCCCCCCAAAAGTTAAAAAGTCACAGGCATCTACCTAGCATAAAAGGTTGAGAAATACAATGCATAGTTGCACAGTGGTGCTGCAAAAAGAAACGAAATATAGGGGAAAAAAGGAACTAGAGGAGAAATGAAAAGCTTCTTCTTCTTTCAGGGATTTCTCACAACAGGACAGCCTCTTCCAAGCAGTGACGGGGGGAGGGGGGAAGCTCAGAAGTGCACCTCAGCGTGTATTAATCAACATCACCCAGCCCCCAGAGGGTTAAAGCACCCAGCAGAGCACTGGGTCCTTGGCTCCCCGAGGCCTGGCTGGCCCGGCTGCCCCCCAGACTCTCACCCCCAGCTGGGCCGGCCTCACAGGTGGGCTTGGTGCTGAAGATGCCCTTTGTCTTTGGTTTGTTTGTTTGTTTTGAGTTTATACAATCATTAGGAAATCTTTGGTTTTGGCTGGAAATTTTAAAAGAACAAAACAAAACAAAACAAAACAAAGAAACCGCCCCCTCCCGACTTATAGCAGCCACCGTGACCTGACAAAGCTTCTCTTTCCCATGGGGTAGGGGAACTACATTCAACATAAAGATGGAACGGGTTAAGGGCGCAGCTTCTGGCCAGGCTGGGGAGTGGGGAAGGGATACAGGATTGTCAAATAATAAAGAAGAAAATTAAATACTTGGAGATTTTTCTTTTTTTTTTGTTTTGGTCATGTTAAAAAAAAAAGTGAGTAGCACGTATGCAGCGCTGGGCTGAGAGCACCTCCAGGCCCTGGAGTTCGGCATAGCCCCGGGGCAGCCCACGGGGTGGGAAAGGCAGTGCAGCCCTTTTACACAGAGCGGCGGGGAGGGGGCGGATATTCACAGACTACTCAAGAGGACCCCTTGTAACCAAAGGAAATAAGATAAGATTGCAATTTGCCCTCACTTTGCAGTAGCTTTTAAGCAGCGACATTCAGAGGCGTTAGGGGGTCACTCCCCAGGTTGCAGGTCACGGGGTGCTATAGGCCAGAGTTCAGTGTTAATCAAAGGAGGGAGGGCAGACTTGGCAACTCTGTAGGGTTTGGAGAAAGTTAAAGCAAGTTACTCAGTTACGAGTTAGAAATGAGGTATACGACAGCTCCTGTACCTGTGGCGGATAAACACCCCACACCTACTCACACCTAGCCTTAGACACTACCACAGAGGAAGGAAATGGAACAGCACTGGCGGGGACGAGGACGCTGCCACATGGATCCTTCTGATGGACCGCGGGCAAGTGAGGCGCCCGTGGGTGCCGGCGCTGCTCCAGGCCTCTTCCTGCCACCTCCAGGCAGCTCTGCAGCAATCCCTTCCTCTCCCCGGTTCAAAGGCAGGCCCAGCCCAGTTCCCCGTGAACGCACAGGGAGCGGGGCTGACCTCGAGCTCTCTCGCATTGCGTTTTTCCCTCTGACTCGCTCAGGAGCAGGGAGCACCGGGATCACAGAGGCCAACACATGGAGAGCGAAAGGGGGAAGAACTAAAGTTTTTGTCTCAACTGCCTTGTTCTCAGGACACTGTCACGGGTGCTCTCATTCTCAAATTATTTCTCAAGGGGTTGGTGTGATCTCCAGGAGTCACCCCTTGGCATGTGGTTTCCAATGTCTTAGGATCCCTTCTGTTAGATAACTTCACATTTCTATAGCGCTGCAGCATGCCAGCTTCATCCGCACACAACTCTTACCACATTCAGAGAACAGGGCTTAAGGAGCTGCTGCTACAAAATTCAGCAAAGGCAGTATGAATCCTGAAGTTAGCCCACAACAGACAGAGTTTTGGGAGGAAAGGGGAAGCTAACTTGGTAAAGTAAATATTTTGTGGTTGTAGGTAAAGCTCTGCAGGAAAATATTCACCAGCAGACTGAAACAGTTTTAAGACAGATCAACATTTTGGTCTGAGCTACTTGACAATGTCCTGTTTGGTAGAGAGATGAAATAAGGCAGAGGGGGTGTGTTCCAGTTCTGGGGCTGAGCCTCAGCAGCACTAAGGAACGCCAAAGGATACCATCTTCCCTCGCCTCCCACAAGCTGTTTCATTTCCTTCCTCAGGTTTGTTTTTCTTAAAGCACACCTTGTTTTCCACTTCTTTTGTTCCAAGTGCTCTTTTCTTTGAGAAGTCGTTTCTTCAATATCCCTATTACCTACCTATAAATCTAACTAGCTCTTTGAAAAGTCACACAATATTAATACCACTTTTACATAATGTCAGAACAACAATTCTATTAGTAAAGCTTTCAGTGAAGTTCTGCAACCCGATTGGTGTCTGGAGGAAGAGGAGCCGGACAATCCGTCTATCCTCCTTCCT